CCAAGTTTTGCATGATGTGCTGACGTGAGTCCCGCCTCCCAAACGAGCCGAATTATGGGATTATTTTGCCTGCTCCTCCCCCCCCCCCCTTCCCCGCCTCTATGAGCCGAATGGTGCTGGGAGTTTTAACATGTCACGCAGTTTAGTGACACGGTCGCCTGACTGCGGTCGAGTTTGCCGCTGGCTGATTTCTCAGCACCAGCCTCTGACTGACGCGGCGGCGTGGGCCGGCTTGGCACCTGCATGCATGCCGCAATGTCCACCGGCCTCAGCCGGGTTTCGGATCTCAGCCAGACTGCGTTCCGTGGCACGCGTCCAACCGTCTCCAAGGAGCTGGCGCCCCCGGCTGCAGTTCAGTACGGTGCCGCGAGGCGGCTCTGCCGTCGGCCGTCGGCCGCGTCTGCCGCGCCGGCCGCCAGGCGCCGCTGCCGGCGGGGCGCCGCGCTCGCTTGGCACGCGGATCGATCCCGCGGCGCGCCAGTGGCGTCCGGCTCCGTTCACGTGCGTTGGCTGGCAACGCCGGCGTCGTCGGAGGCGTCGGCCAGTGGTGGTCGCGCGTGTCAAGCGGTGAGCCCGCCCGCACGGCGGCCGTCGCCAGCGCCCGGTGAGTACGCGCGCCCGCCCGGTCCGGCTTGGCCCCGCCGCGCGCTGCCTCCACCGACGGCCTTACACCACAGCATGTGCTGCCAGCGAGGTCGTTAGCATCATGGATCCTTCATCACCTTGTTGTCGACCGTGCCGGCCTGGGTCACGTCGTCGCTGTGTGGGTCCGCCTAGCACAAGAAACCAGGTGCAGGCGCGTCTGGCGCCCCCCGAGCCCCGGGCGCCGCTGAGGGCCGTTCGTCAGACCCATGTCAGCCGCGCCGAACTGCCTGCCGGGCCCATTATGACCATGAAGAGTAATAGGCTGGGGCGTACTCAACATTAGTCACGGCCCGCGCATTGGGCAGCCACTGGTTACGCTGTGATGTCACCAAATGGCTCTTTACTTTCTACACGTGTTGGAGATTTCTTCTGTGTGAAACAAAAATTGCTAATTAAATGATCGGAGTAGCAGCGCGTTTTATCTTAAATGCACAATGCATGCCTGAAAAGCTGTTACGCGTGTCTGTCGACTTCCAATCTTTTGCTGCGTATTTCACATCTTTTGTCACGTCATTAGAAGCCTACCGCACGACTCCGTCTTCATTGAACTCATGTCCCACTGAGTCGAGACACCAGACGCCGCTTGTGCAACGACCCAGCTGGCTGGCAGAGCCACATCGGAGCGCACGGCGGGCGACGCTGACCCGTCCGCCGGCCCCGCCTCCGCGGCCGAGCGGTTGCAGCTCGACACAGACGGCTGCCGGCGGCGCCGAACCCGCCCCCACCCCCGCTCCGCCCGTTTGGCTGTCCCGCCCCATTCGACTGTCCCGCCCCTCTCAGTCAGAGCGTGACAGAGCGTGTGCCTGGGAAGTAGTTCTCCTTACTACTGACCGTATTGCATTTCCTCCTTGAGATCAACGAGGACTTGTGAGCTGATTTTCTTCTCTACTATTACAAAGTTGGTTTCGTTGCCGTTGTCTGGCTGAGATCGTTTGGGACTTGGTCAGCTCAGCTCTGACTAGCTCAGCGAGGCTGGGCACTCAGCTCTGACTGGATCAGCGAGGCTGGGCGCTCAGCTCTGGCTGGGTCAGCGAGGCTGGGCCCTCAGCTCTGACTCGGTCAGCGAGACTACTCGCTCAGCTCTGACTGGGTCAGCGAGGCTGGGCGCTCACCTCTGACTGGGTCAGCGAGGCTAGGCGCTCGGCTCTGACTGGGTCACCGAGGCTAGTCGCTCAGCTCCGACTGAGTCAGCGAGGCTGGTCGCTCAGCTCCGACTGGGTCAGCGAGGCCAGGCGGTCAGCTCTGGCTGGGTCAGCGAAGCCAGGCGCTGGGCTGCTATCACTCGCGTCCAACACGCCAATCTCCCGGCAGCCAAAGTGTCGTTGGTCGTTCTGACAGGGTCTGTAGCGAGTATATCAGCCCAGACGAGACGTTGTCCAGCGGTCATCACGGCCAGCGTTCACCTTTATGGGTGGTGATGGTCTTCATCAGGGGTGGCGATTTTGTTCATCAGTGGCGATGTGCGGCATCTCGCGTCTGATGTGCGACCCTTTGTCCGTGCAGATGTTGAGCCTTCCACGGCGCTGATATTGAGCCTCCATCAGCGTTGGTATTTAAGTTTCATCAGTGCTGGTAACTACGTCCTTCCTGAACGAAGCCAGGCGCCGGAGACTGTCACCCAGATTTGAGGTTGAACTGAACACGGCCAGTTGAGCGGGGGCAGTGTCCAACAGCCGACTGGAACCCTCCATTGGGCCATTTCGACGATCGAGCGTGAGGTTTTACGGCCGGCTGGCGGCCGGGTCGGCTGATGGGTCGGTCGAAGGCAGAGACTGTCCCAGCCTGCGAGCGACGGAGTCCGTCAGCCATCTCTTTTCAACAAACGCAGGGATTCTGGCTTCCACTTACTGTGCTTACTATGATAACTAAGTTCTAGGTCGGCCTTACAAGGACGGTTATATTGCAACCTTTTAGTTTTATTGGATGCTGGGACGAAATGCTACGATAGCGCGCTCCTTTAATTCGAGCCAGTTCACACATTTACGCTAGCTAAAGATAAATGCAAAACATTTGCGCAATATGAAATATGAGGAAGTGATAAGGACGCTTGCGGTGTGAGTGCTGAATCATGCAATGCTGTTTTTTGCCAGCAGGTGCTGCTGACCCACAAAACCGACTTTAAATATTCCCTCGAAGTTCATAAGTGAACATGCTTTATTTAACCTAATTGGAATGTTTCACTTGAAAAAGTAGCTCTAAATGGTTGTGCCGTCCTGCTTCATTGTGAACCTCAATTTTGTCGCACCCGTCGGGCGACTTGGCACTACTTTACTCCGACTCGAGTACGCCAGCCAGGGAGGGGTGATTGGAGCTCGGCCGGTGTGCCTGTGCTAGATTGACCGTCAGTCTTTGTCGGTGCACCATGAGTAAACTTATACCACACAATAACCATGAATAGACGGGCAGGTTCGGCAAGGTGATGACCATGACCAATTATGGTTTATGTAAGCGATGACAGCAGTACCTTTGCAGGCTTGGACATTTTAAACACACAATTCACTAAAATTTCGCTCCCCAACTCGCATGGCCTTTCTTGTTTTGGTCCCGCTCCACCCTTTTTCAGTCGACAATAAAGCTTTGAGCCAATGTCAAATGGCTGAAAAAACGGGCGATGAGAGCCGCGTCGCAAACAGGCTCTTCGGCCTCTTCCGCCACTTGGACCGCTTGGACGCTGCCAGCTTATAAGTGTC